TAAATGTGTAAATGTCTTTTTTCGGTGGACAACGTTAATGACATTGACTGTATATCTATAGAGTAGGTGCATGTTGCAAATATATGAATTTGAAGATTAATTTTTCTCATTTAATATAGAAATGTTATAATATATAGAGCTATCCCGAATTCGCTTGACTGATCACGAAACAATGGTTTCAAATGGAGGTTGAACTTGATAAATAAAAGAATCAAGTTCAATCCAAGCTCAAGTTCAAGTTCAGTTTATTTACACTTTTAACAAAAGAAGTTACAGAATAAGAAAAGATTAATGACAGATATTTAAAAAAAACAACTAATTAAAGATGATGTCAATTATATGAAAAAGTGTGTAGTGGTCAAAAGAAGCATAGCTTTCGAGCTGACCACTGCACTGGATAGGTAAGATGGAAGTCTCAAATGCGAAGTCTTATAAATATTCATAAGAGCTTTGGAGCTAAGAATAGTTGTTCTTTATATAATAAATAAAGAACATTTCATTATGGTAAACGAGAAATAAATAAGTTAGAGTGCACGCACTAAAACCGTGAACATTAAATAGTACTAATTAGTACTATTTCATACAGAATCCTTTGTTTTCTATTGTTTAATCATCACTATTTAGTGCTAAAAAATAGTATTTGTTTCACGGATTTAGTGTAAGCACTCTATTAAATAATTAATTTTGATACAGATTAGTGAATTTGTAACCATGGCAAGTTCAAAAGATTTATTTTATAGTTCTTCTTTAAATGAATAGTATGAGGATATGGTTCTAATCTCGACTTCAAACCATTGTTTCGTGGTCAGTCAAGCGAATTGGAGATAGGTCTATTGAAATACAATTTTCCCAACGCCAATTCTACTCAGTCCAAACTTTACGGATATGCAATATCAAAAATTTCGAATTCAAACGGGCTGGTCTCTGGGGAACACTCTTTTTCCCCCTTGTCTCTGTAGGACTGAGGTAGAATATCAAACGTGATGATCAAGTTATTGAAAATGGTTTATTCATCTGCGAGGTAGACAATAATAACGTAGAATATAATAAAGCAAAATTGAAATTATTTTGAAACAGCTGATGTGATAGAGGAGCGGGCGGTTTAGTGCATGCAAAGAAAAAGAAAGTTATAGTTTGACAAAAATATCAGGATCCAGAAAATATGTGTAAAGGGGGTTGAAGAGTATAACACTGTAACCATGCTCTCGATTATTCGATATGTAAATTAGGAGTTTTGATTCCACGTTAATTTGAATTTTGTTTCAAGATGGCCGCTTCACACCTATCAAATTTAACTTCTGGCTGAATTTTCTGATTTTCAGCCGAGAGTAGATTTACTGAATCTTTCAATAAACATTTGGGATATATCTGTCTTTAGTTTTTGGAAAACTTTGAAGCAGAGGTATAGTGAATTACTGAAAAGAAATTTGTCAACTTGTCAAGAAAAAAAGTTTAGTATTCTGGAGCATCGAGCGAAGCGAAGATGTACCCCCGCAATCACAGCATGCAGTAAAAAAACGAAGGGGTTAACAAGAACCTTTAAGAAATAACACGTTTGTGCAAAAGGTACAAAAGGTACTAAAAAATACCGCAATCTATATTTAATCATCATTGAAAAATTAATGAATAAATTAGAGGTAAAAACTTAAGGTTCGATAGCATAAATACAGCTACCTCCAATGCTGTTGATCAGACTTCGGTTCGTCGTTTATCAAATAGATCGCACAAGTTATATATATATATATWTTTTTTGTCTGTTAGCTGCTTTGTGATATAAGTTTCAGAGGAAGCACCACTATTAATTAAGATGTTTGGGAAGAAGTTTTTTGTTTCATTCTTCTTTGTTCTCGTTTTCCTGGAGACAGCTCTGAAGATCGAAGCTGTGGCGAGTGTTAAACTGACTAACACCTATTTGGATCTTAAAGGTAGTGCAGAAAGATATAATTGAATTCCTTCTTTCTCGCTTACTCTCGCCCTTTCCTTTCTATGTCTCTTGTCTTTCTTTCTCTCCTTTCTTTGTTTCTTCTTTTTCATTCCTTACCTTACCTTACCTTTCCTTTCCTTTCCTTTCCTTCCCTTCCCTTCCCTTTCCTTTCCTTGTTGCATGTCATAGCAGAAATTATGTCCAAATACCTTAGTCAATACATCTGTAGCTCTTTTCTTTCCAGTTTCTGTTTGCTTACTAGATTTCACTAACTTCTCTTGACTTCCTTCACTGCTGTCATCACTGTCGCTGTCATCTAGTCTCCTTTGGATTNCTTTCCTTTCTTTTCCTTTCCTTTCCTTTCCTTTCTTTTCCTTTCCTTTCCTTTTCACTGGTTTAAAATAGTGCTTTGCAATATATATATAAGATGCATGTGTTAACGTTGCTAGGAAACACCCACATCCGGTTTTTAGAGCCGCAAGAGCGAGTTTGGGCTGGTCTTTCCAACGGTAAATCAATTTGCTTATTTACTATATTTATTAACTTATGTCTTTATTTTTTAAATTAAAATTTTCTGTCTTTTTTCCTTCTTCAAAACATAATTTATTCCCCCTTGAATTCATAAATTCTATTTTTCCGTAATATTTGAATTTTTCCAGCAATATTTTACCATAAATGAATGTACTGCGAAAGATTTGCTCCAAGTTTCGCTCAATATACAGCTATTTTAAAAAAAGGTTAACATTATTTTGCAAGTTGCATTTTGCCTGTTGCTTTCTAAGCTTGAAATTTATTACATTCATATGAAATGTTAGCGCACGGAAGAAAATTTACCAGAAAATGCGCGTGAAGAAAATTGCGCATATGCAAAGTTTAGGAAAATTTCATATCGTTATGAGAGGGTGCCAATGGTGTTAGTATAGTTAACTGACAATTGGTCAAAAAAATTGTAGTCAAAAGACAAATTAAGCTAAGATAAGTAGTTACAGTTAACTGAGTTTCATTATTTTGGTCATGATATTATGACCAGCGCTCGTAAAATTGGTCACAATTAACTGACCGCTTTCGGCCGAAAAATTAGTAGTTAAATGACAATTGGGTATACCCCCCAATGGCACCCTATTGTGACCTTTCACTGATATTCAAATCTTCGATAATACAATTCGGGCTTAATATACAACGTGCAAAAGAACATTCATCAACCTTTTTTTTAAATAACTTTATATTATATTAGTTAGGTTACGCGCATTAAGGTCTTTAGAGCTAAACATTTCGCTCACAAATGCCTTAGCCGAGATTRATAGCTAACCTATACTTACAGCACCATAGTCCATAAGAATGGTTATCGTACAAGTGGGAAACGTATGGTACTGATTTTACAGCACGTACACGATACGACATGCAGTAACATTTAATTATGTAGCTTTTAATTGTCTTCCTATAATTCAGCCAATTAGAAAGCTTATAATAGACCTTATTCGTGGTGTGACAATGTTTTCCCAATTCAGCGTGACAAACCTCTGGGGGAATGAAGAGCTATTGTTTCGAAACTCGTCGGGATATCATCGTTATTCCTTTCGTATCCTTTAGGATACTCATGAATTTTTCGAAGAGTAAAAACGAAAGAAAATGAATCCTCTGGAGGTTCGTCACGCTGAATTGGGATAACATTGTCACACCACGAATAAGGTCTATTTACGGCTTCAGCTATGCCAGTTCTACGTGTCTCGCATAAATTTGTCAGTTAATCTAAAAAAACCGCTCTGAGCGTTCATTTTGGTACTGCTTGTAATAAGAACTTTTTATTCTGGTTTTCTATCGGTAAACGCATCATTGTTTTTCATTTTCTAATTACCCAGGAGGGCGTCGTTATCCTGTAATTCACAGCGGTGACCGTATCGCTCTACGAGTGATGTACAGTAGCTACTCGACCAGGTGGATAAAGTGCTCCTCATCAAGCTACTGTTATCATTCAACATGTCCTGGAGACAAGGTATTGTATACGAAAACCGTAGAAATTTTATTAAATGTTGACTAGAGCCTTTATATAAAAGTTTGCCAAAATTAAACGAAATTTCTGACAGAAAAGCTGTTAGCATGATGGTACGTTGTTATGACCCCAGGAACTTCATAACAACCACGTATTTCTTGTCCGGCGTTGGTTTAATTAAGCAAAGGGAGGTTTTCCTAAATGAAATTTGAAATATCTTGACTCTTTTCAGATAATGACCTCCAGCAAATGGTCCTCCTGTACGTATGAGCAGTTCTACATCCGGGGAGTCAACAAGAATGACGGACAGACGATCCTCAGCGGAGATTACGTCACACTTGCACCGTACAGGAGAGGAGCCACTTGCCGTCTCARGTGCTTTTCTTCTWCCTCGACCAAATGCAACTCGGCCACGTAAGTTTWTTWTTTACTTATTGCAATAAAGTCAGTCACCAAAAATGACGTTTAGCACGACGTCCTTGTTAGGAATCCAACTGCAGACCTCAAACTGTAGGTCAGGCGTTTCCCGCCAAAATTTTGCCATTTAGAAAGGCGTCATTGCGAAGTTATTTTGCTGGAAGAGCCGCCGTATTGTTCTAACTTCATAAAACTGACATAAATGTGTCACCAAATAAAGTGCAAACAATTAATCCGTTAAACACAACACTAATTAGTAAATAGTTCAAAATAGTGCTAATTAAACACTGATAGAAAACAATAGAATTTGCATAAAATTGAACCATTTGGTATCGCTAAAGCTCCACGGTTATATTGTTTACACTCTAATTATCGTATATACTTATTCCTATATTATGTCCATTTTCCACCTAGTTTTTTTTTGTTTATAGTTGCATCGTATAGTTGCTTCAAGTTTCACAGTTTTTACTTTTCGTTTTCAAGGGCCGTAAGTTAGATAACTGAAGGGTTAATAAGGTTACCCTCGTAAAATAAAGATTTAAATAAATAAAATAAAAAAAACGGATGCCGAGTGTTTCTCCGTGTTTGCGGGCGTTTCTGGGCCTGATCCCTARTGATTAGTGGTGATAAAACCCGATGCTAAACGTCTCTCATAGTGCACTCGCCTCTAACATCTGGCATAGGTAGATTCAAGGTAGATTTAGGGGTGGCCCTAAGGGCTCTAAGGGGATACTGGCCTAGATTCACTTACACGTGTGAAGGGACACAGGTAGCCCATTGTGAATCAGATTTCATCTTCTACTGATTTCAACAATCTTTTTTTCTAGATGCGTCAGTGAAAGCAAATTCAAGGGGAACAACGCGTTCGTCTACTCGTATATGACCTTCCAGATCTTCTCTCGTAACGGCGTAGACGGACAAGACCCGATACAGTACGGCGACACTGTGGGCTTCCGCTACCCATACTATAACCCTAGTTACTGGCTGTACTTTAGCGGGTCCTACCTCTATGCCCGGTCGTGYAGCTCTAACACTAAAACGTCTTGCGCTTATAAAGGCAATCTGTTTGGCTTCCAAATTTTCAAACGCTTGTAAGGTTTAAGGATCTCTCTCTCTCTAAAAAAAAAAACACTTATCTCAAGAAAGTTAATAAAGATTAAATATATAAGATTGAAAATGCTACATTTCAAGAAAAAACATGTTGAAAAAAGGGGCATAAATGTAAAGTTGAATTAAATATCGAATAAAGTGATGCAGGGATATAAGTAATATAAAGTGAAGCTTTCAATTGAAACATTCCCCATTTCATTAAGTTTCTATTTTTCTGCAATATTGGTAGACCAGAAACGTGTCCAGGGCTAATGTGTGACAAAAAAACAAAACAAAAACAAAAACAAAAAAAAAAACAAAACAAAACAAAACAAAACAAAACAAAACAAAACAAAACAAAACAAAACAAAACAAAAMAAAAMAATCGTAAATTTTCTTTCCCCCTATTTCGTTGGGCTACCTGTAAATTTGGCGGGAATCTTCCCGCTAAAACGCGTGTGCTCGCCCCCTCTAACTCTGGTACACCACTATAGTAGAACAGACAGTCGGCGCGGTAGATCATACTTAATTATTACCTACAGTCATGATAAAATCTACTAATGAAATAAGAAGCGACAATTACAATGTATACAGTATTCATAATAATCTAAGTCGGCAGGTCTCTCAATGTCAGCTTTCCCGTTCTGCAGATTTTTCTGTTTCTAAGTCGGCCATTTTCTCTTCTAATTTTTGAACATTTTTATCGGTAATATTTTCTTCTTCTTTGTTTTTATCTTTCTTTTCGTCTTCCCCGGCTAAAACCCCTTCATCTAACGTTTCTTTATTCTCGGTCTTTTCATTTTCTTTTTCTCTGTTAACACATTTTTCTTCCCGAGTTTTTCGTTTTTCAGCCTCTTGTTGTGCTCTGGTTTCTTCCTCTAGTTTCTTCATCTGTTCTTCTTCGGCAAGTTCTCTTTTATATTCCTCAGCGAGTCTTTTACAGTGCTTCTTGTGCGTACCCCAGTGCATTTTCTGACAATTTACCGAGCAGTACGCCACCTAATGCAAAGAAAAAGATTTCTCAAGCTTGAGAGCATTCGAAACATGAGATGTCGAAAGTGACACTTAATTGGCTTTCATTAATTTTGAACCAATCAAATATTAAGCGAGAAAGTATACGGCATCCAATCACAATGTGACAAAATATGGAAGACATTTTGAGTGTTGCCTATGAGTACACAGGGAGCCCAAACCAAAAAAATTATTTTATCGAGCCCTGAAACAACCTCTAGGCTGATCAAAGTCAGGGCATGGCCAACTCACAGATTGAACCCTGAAACAACCCATGGGCTGATCAAAGTCAGGGCATGGCTAAGTCACAGATCAAACCCTGAAAGAACCTCTGGACTGATCTAAGTCAGCGCACCGCTAAGAAAGAATTGGAAAGGAACGTGTTGGGTTTTGCAAAGCAGAGACCTACTGTAACAAACTCTACTCCCATGTGATGCCGAGTTCAGAAATCAGGACAATCAAGTGCACTAACGTTACACCACCCTTGGACTGTTAMTAGATATTGGACAAAACTACCCTCCCCTCTCTAATGACAAATGCGGGAACATCGATGGCACAAGTGARCTCACCTTTTTACAAGGAGCACATTTTTTAACGGCCTTGCTTTCGCCGCAAACGGTGCAGCATTTGGAAAAATCAGCACTGAGAAGAGAAAAAAGCATACATGTATTGACGTATTGGCAAAAAAATTTCATGTAATAGAGGCTCTATTTTTGTGCCTCTTGTCATGGCTGCCATCACGTGATGCTGCAAAGCCTCTATAAGGTTCTGATACATACCTTTGGATGCCATTTATAACTTGGGTTAATACTGTTAAAGCTGTTGGTTCATTTCCCTGTGAGAATAAAACCAAATTTGGAGGTGATGGAGCAATATTTTTTTAATAATGGTGCAGTACGACACGAGACAATAGGGATAAACGCTATGGGAAAAGGACAGACAGACAGATAAAGACAGACAGACAGAGCGACAAGACAGACAGACAGACAGACAAAGAGACAGACAAAGAGACGGACAGACAGACAGATAGACTGACTGACTAGGGAAAAAACAACAGACAGACGGCAGACTGGAAAAGGAAAGACAGACAGACAGCCACAGACAGATTCAGATAACCTGATAGAAATGCGAATGGGGAGAGAGGAAGAATGAAAGATAAAAAACAAACAGACAGACAGGGTCAGATAAAGACACTGAGATGTAAGTGGGCAAAGGAAGGATGGATGGACAGACAGACAGGGTCAGATAAAGACACTGAGATGTAAGTAGACAAAGGAAGGATGGATGGACAGACAGACAGGGTCAGATAAAGACACTGAGATGTAAGTGGACAAAGGAAGGATGGATGGACAGACAGACAGGGTCAGAAAAAGACACTGAGATGTAAGTGGACAAAGGAAGGATGGATGGACAGACAAGCAGACCTACCCTTTCCACAGGAGACAAAGTAGTTACAAGTTGCTGGAATATCGTACATTGAGGGTAGTCAAACTCCTTGATTGACTGACGGATAAAATCCTCTGTCCCCAAAGGAAACCCATCAGAGGGTCGACCTTTGATCAAACTACATGAATAATCAAGAAAATATAAAATATTTCAATAATTCAATACAGTTTTTTGCAATGACTTACAAATTGCTCGTGAGCTAAATGGTCATTTTTTTATCATCAATAAGAGGACAGACAGATAAGCCGACATCAACGATCGTGCTCTCTTTCCCTTGATTGTTTTGATCACAAAAATGAGAAGTTTTTATCTTCTTTGCTATTGCAAAAACCAAATTGACATCAGTTTATTATGTGTCTGTCCTCTTATTGACGATAAATTTCRTCAAATAAGTACCRTAGTATGCGGATCATCCWCACTACTTTGACARTGTGATGATGCATTTATCGTCATTAAGAGGACAGACAGTCACATCAAAAACTGACATCAATTTGTTAAATATTATACACTCAATACAGTAATTCCTTTCACAAATCCCTGTGCCATCCTGAAAGGTAGCCGTGCCTTGGCATTGAAGCGTGAAAAACTGCAAGCTTGCAATGATAGAGACCTATTTTAATATCTTGGAGAATTATTGACATGTCTGTAACATTGCAAGCTCACCATTCATCTTGCTTTGACAGACTCGTACCCAGTCGTTACTGTGCGTGAACGTGCGTGGGAAGGAGGAGAAAAAAGTAATGTCGCTTCGCTTTTCTCTTCTCTTTCCCATGATTCCCTGCATGTTAGTGCTCTACTCCCCTATGCATTTGGTGCTGGCTTCCTATGACCATAAGAAGCGACTGGGTACGAGTCTGTCGCTTTGATGCAAAGGCCTTTCAAGATTTCGCCAGAAACTGTTAAGATGACTATTGCAAGATCATTGTTGGGTTCAAAACAAAATATAGAAGCCGTCGGACCTTTGATTAGTTTACTTACAACTTCAAGAGTCCTTCAATGCCTTCTTTCCCATCCAGACCCTCATGCCATCTTCCACACTTTCTTACTGTATATCCATAGAAGTGCATCTTCATGGCCATGATCTCATTCATTGACTGCTGTTTGATGAACTTTTCACACCTCAGATCAAGGACTTTACTGACTGATTTGTAATTCTCTACTAAGTCCATGTGGTCTTTAAGAAAAGTTACTAACTGAAAAAGAAAAGATAATTTATCATTATCAACAACATCATCAATGTCATTGTCATCATTATCATCATCACTCTTCATCATTGCCAGGCATCATCATCACTATCATCAGCAACATCATTGTGACTGTCATTATCATCAACATCACCATCATCATAAATGTCCTCATTATTGTCATCACAGCCCTTCAACAACACCATCATCATCATCACCATCATCACTGTCATCATCATCACCATAACCATCATCACTCTCATCATCATCATGAACATCATGGCTGTTATTATGATCCTCACCATCATCAACAGTCATCCTCATCATCATTATCATTAACACCATCATCAATTACCATAATCATCAGATATCATTACCACCATCATCATCAATCATCACATTTACCATCACTTACAGTACATCGGCTACAGTACGATAACCAGCATCCATGCAAGTTAGTAAGTCACCTCATCCTCAATGACCCTATCATATGCAGCACTAAATTGAATCAATTAAGCTACTTACTTTTACTGGGTTGATATTTGTGACAGTAATGTATTTATACAATGAAGGTACAAGTTTTGCTGGGAGCTTTCCTTCCTTCTCAAAACCTGCCAAAATGTATATTTAATAAAATAGTTTAATACTTAATGGGATCTTAATACTGGATGCCTTTCCCAAATTAGCATGAAGTAACCCTATAGGAATAGGCCTTTTTCAAGTTCCAAATTACTGGTGTGTTCCTTGATTAAAGGGGTGGCTCATTAATTACCCAGGGTCAGCCTTGAATCAGTGTCTTTGGAAATATTCACAAATACCAACAGTAGATTGGTTAAAGAACGCACAACTTCAACAATACAAACACTTTGAAATTGCACAGACTCTCAATGGAACACATGACTGATATTCTGCACAAATTCAAGGCTATCCCTGAGCAACAGAGAACTCTAAACTATCTGTAAGTACTGTTCCAGGGGGGGGGGAGGGGATAATATTAGTACATGTACATGCATAATATAAGACTCAACACCTTGTGGTCTTGTGTAGTATAGCAAATCCTCTTGAGAGATGAAATTATTTATTAGACTGACACACTCATGGTGACCTGCAATTAAAGAAAAAAGATCCAGCTATGGAGAGCATCTACGTACATGTGTAAGTCAGGGGCTGTTGCAGGGGGGCGTCTTGCAGTGAATCATAAACCTGGCCCTAACACCATAATTACTCTTAGTATTATGCTTATTTTTAAAGAGATGGATAATATCTATATTTGATATATACCAAATGTCAAAGTCCAAGATATCCCTTAACGTAAACAAGTTTTGATGTTTCCCCTGCGATGGATTCAGCAGGCAATAATATGTTGTTGACCGGTAATAACTGTACCAGAAGTGATTTTCCCGGAAATGTTAAGTTTATCCAAGTTTTACATAATCGAATAATCAAATGATCAATTTTGTTTTTCTTTGACATTTGGTATATAACAACACACTTATTGAGGGAACCTCAGGAAAGTAGTGTGTTGTGTGGTCCCTATGGTCCAAATGTATACTAATCCTAAGAAAAAGCTGATGGAGCTTTTCACAATCACTATCATTGAAAACTAAATTCTGGGATAAAGCAATCAATTTAAACCTCGGGTATCACTTAGCTATTACTCTGACCCAACACCATGCCTAGATACTTCTAATAAAATAATATATAATTTCTAGAGCAGTTTTTGTATGACTGTGAAAGCTCACAGCACGAAAGCACGAACACAGTTATGACACAGCAAATTAATTAGCTAAACCAATCACAATGCATGAGAATTTAATCTCCATCCAATCACATGCCCAAAACAAGGCATCGGACATGGTGCGGACACAGTCATGCCAAAGGCCATGGCAATGCCAGGCCAATAAGCCTTTTCATAGTTTAAGAATTGATTCCACTGTGCATGCGATTTTATCCCAAATTTCTCACCTTCTTTTGTCTAAACCTTCTTTTGTTCTTAATTAAACAAAAGAAGGTGAGAAATTCGGGATAAAATCGCATGCGCACTAGAATCGATTCTTAAACTATGAAAAGGGTTATTACGATGTGCAAGAAAAAATATGCCAAATGAAATTCTAGAAAACATCACAGTTGCGGCATGGCATGCTTACGGCAATTTCACTGTCATATGAAAACTACTTTATCTAACATAATAAATACCATGCAGTACCATAATAATTAACAAGTATGTGTAAATAGGAATCATCTAATAAAGATGATGATGGTAATAGTGATGATGGCAATAGTGCAGGTTCATATTATCATACCAACAAAAGCACCAAGCTGGCCAGCAGTCTTCCCTAGATTATTCTCAGCTTGGACATTAGCACCAGCTTCAAGAAGCAGTCTGGTGACTTCAAAAGCACCTGTTTGGATGCAATAGAATAGGGGTAAGTTAACAACAATCGCTATCACTAATTCATTCAATATCTATTCATTTATTCATCAATACAATGTGTCTTCAAGTATATTACCTGACACACAGCTAAACATCAGAGCAGTGTACTGAAAAACAGTCAAAAGAATTATGAAATTAGATAATCAGTTTAAAAGCTGGGCCTCTGAACCTAGTTTTCCATTTCATTATACATTTTGTAATTAAGTAGTTAATTTATAGTGTAATTGAATATGTACTGTATATAGATTTTTGCGCATTAGAAGTTATAATTAAATTATTATTAATTATTATTATGGTCATGATAGTTACCTTGTGTTCGTGTTTGTTAGAGTTCACATCAGCACCATGAGCAAGAAGCAGTTCCGTCATCTCTGCATTGCCTTTATATGCACAATGCATCAGTGGCGTCATCCCTTGCTGAAAAAACAACAACAACAGAAAAGATATTTCTAAAGATTATCTAGGGTGTGGTAGTAGTGGTATTGGCATTAAATAAAAAATCAAATAACCATATTTATTATATAATTACCTATGAAATATCTATTTTTCTCTATTTCGAAAAATTGATATCTTAAAATAACACCATAGCGATGGCTATTCAAAAATACACGGAAAGAATTGCCTGAAAAAGCCAAAACATACTTCATTGATAATTATATAATAAACAGAATATTACATGGGCGCTTGGAGATACGCAATTTATCTTCTTGTGTTGAAAATTCCTCACTCGTTCGCTGTGCTCACTCATGAGAGATCTTTTCAACACTCGAAGATAAATTTCGTATCTCCGCGTGCCCATGTAATATCCTCTATTTATTAATAGAGGATAACACTTGACAGCAAATTAACTGATAAACTTGTGGTCCTCTTTTAACATCTTTATTTAGTCATTAAGAATGGGACCGTCATTTACTTAACGCGGGATGTTGAGAGAACACGAGAGGAGTGTAGGAAACCACGACACGTAACGGAGTGGATGACAGCTTCTCGAGTGTTCTCTCGACATCCCAAGTGTTTTGATTAGAATATCAAACACGGAAAATTGTTTTTTGATCTGTTTTATAAAATAACAATTCCGATGTTTTTTGTAAACAGTGATGCGAGCATGCTTTGATACCCTCATCAAACATGATTTTCAACCAATTGTAGCCCGCGAACTATCCCAATTATTTTATAAACGGTCATAAAGCCATGTGAAGGTCTAACCATTTGCAATGAAATTAAAAAGCACCTTCCCTTTTGTTAATTCGAGGAGGCATTTATGGTTATTTGTTGTTCCTTGTAATTTGAAACACCAGCTTCTATGTGAAAACTAACTTGCAATAATTTCTATAAGAGCAATGAGGAAAACAATGACATATTTCAAATTCAATTTATCTGTACCAGTAATGTTTTGTATATTAAATGATTACTCCTCATACGTCACAGTCATTAGCATACATGGCATGGAAAAACCTTTATAACTTCAAGAACCTGCACTCAAACTATGAATTTTTTTGGGTTATTCTACATCTCGCCCTATGTAGAATCTTTTTTTTTTTATTGTGAATATTGTCAGAATGGTGATAGGCACTTTAATAAACCAAATATGATTTAATTTGAGCTGCTCAATTCAAAGGATATTACAATGAATAAATTTTAGTTGTCGTGAGAGTAATAATGTAATATTGTTCTCAGAATTGAGCTGCATAGGGATCAAATATCCTGCTGAGAGTCCATACAGTATGTTTTGTATACACTATACAAATATATATTATAAAGGATCAAAGGTTCATTTTTTTCCACACACAAAAAATATAATTAATACAGTATGAGATGTAGAGGGTGAAAGAAAAAATCGCTATGGGTTAAACAAAGCTCTTGGAACCTTGTATTAATACAATATATCCGAGTTATTCTAACAATTCGCATCCTACATGTCAAAAAAAAACAAAAAAAACCCTAAAACATAAGTCTATAGACTGATTTTTTCCCAAACAACAAAATATACTTGCACATTTTTTAATGAATACATTTTTAAACAAAAAACATTTCATATTTTTTTAGAGGCAATTTCTCAGTTACATCAACAACTAAGTTAATCAAAGGTCTTAATCATAATAACATTTCTTAACGGTTTAAAAAAAGGAATATTTACAGTTTGTCACATACAAAAACAGCTGCTAAACAATCTTACTCTAAAAGCTAAGATTGGTTTGGGTTTCTTAAAACGAAAAGGTAAAATTCGGAAATTCAAAAATATTTGATAGATAGATAGCAAAAGTCCTGAGAAATATATAAAATATATAATTCAAAGCCAAAGAAAGAAAAAAAAGAAATACTGTAAATGATTTACCTCATCCAAACAATTGACATCAACCAAGCCTGAACTTAACAGCCGCCTAACTTCAGGAATATCCACTAAAATGAAAAACAAAGACCACAGTAAGTAAGAATAAACATTCAGCTAGAGATTTACACTCTTAATAATCCAAACTTTACCTCTATTGATGGCTTTTACAAGCTCTTCTTCGGACTCATTCATCTTGCTACTCGCCATTTTCTTCCTCTTGTCAAAAAATAAACCCCGCTGTTCTTTTAGTATCACGGGCTTAACACAGGAAGCCCATACAAGCTTTGAGTAGAAGGGAAACGAATATTTTTTAAACATCGTTAAAATGGCTCGAAATCACTTATAAAGAACAAGGACGATGTAAGTAACACTTCATGTTAGTAAATATTAACTTTTATCATTATTTTTTTCGTTAAATTACATTCAGTTCTCAAAGCTTTTATGGGCTTCCTGTGGCAAAAAATCGCGGGCTTATACCGCTGGTTTGTATATTTACTGGCGCGCAATCCAAGATGGCGGCAAGTTTGGATCGAGGTGAGAAATTTAGTATGTTTGGTAATTTTTAGCTGATTTTTTATACATGTCATTGGGATTTTAAAATATTTATATAACCTTACGTATATTCCTTCGTTATTTATCCATTTTTTTCGCTTGCTATTGGATAAAGTGCTATGTTTTCTCGTTTTTGTGTTACTGGTCCAAGACACGTGTTTTGGTGTTAATCCTGAAGTGTTCAAGTGCTTCATGTTGTCGTAGAATTAAATCTTACTGGACAATACAGGGAAATGATTATTCACTGCGCTGTTTTTATTTGCCAATTCATAGCACTTGTCTATAATTTTAACTACATAATAATACATACAGTGAGTTTTGGGTAAAGTCACCCCACTTCCCCTTCGGGTTTCCAAAATGCCACTTATGGTATGAATATTTTCTGGAACTACCCATTGAATCATGTGTAATATGACTATAACTACGATATATACCTTATGTTCATTGGTGGATTTAGGGGTTTCCACAAGGGGCTGCTGCCTCCCTTATAATTTTGTTAGTTGTCTGCCCCCCCCCTTTTTTTTCCAATTCCTCGAACCACCCCTCTTGGGCATAGTTTTTTTTCCATTTCTGACCATGTGGGGTTCTCTGAAGAATAAGATTCTTTGTTTGAGTTGTATCATACAAATGTATTCAATGAATGTGTCTTCTCCTGCACAGACATTAAACAAAGAAATGGTATTCAAGGGAATGCCATGTTATCAGATCAGAAGGGTTAAACATTATGCCCAAATTCTTTTTATAAACTACACCTACCATTAAATTATATGAAGATATAAAAATATAGATAAGTTACAGTGCTTGGGAACGAGGTTATTCCGGGCGAAAGCCCTTGGAATTAAATTCGGAAAAATTAATTTCCGACCTAATTTTCTACCATTAAGTTATGCATTGACACCACAGGGAGCCCAAACTTGGTGTTTCTGTCAGCATATTTTTCTAATATTTTTTAGCAAATTCGAAAATTTAATATTTTGATCATCTTGAATTTTATCTTAGCAAGTCATTTTGCAACCAGCTGCCTCAAAAACCCATTTCACACACTGAGTGATAAGAGTATATTTTTATTTTAATGTTTTCAGAAAGTCCTCCACTTAGAGAGAGTGATGATGATGATGATGGATGGGAAGAGGTTGATGAGAATTCTGAGACTATAGCAAAGTGTTTGTTTTGCAGTGAGACGTGTGAAGGAGCCCAGAAAACATTCCAGCATTGTCTTGATGTTCACAACTTTAACTTGCCAACAATAAAACACAGCTATGGTAAGTAAAGTTTGATTATCTAAATTTAATCAGATTTACATGTCTTTTGTGGACGGAAAATTTAACTGGTATTGCAACCCACTTCATAAAGTTACTAATAGACTAAATTAAGAATTTAGGAGAAAATGATTTTTGTGGAAGAAGGAAAAATCTGAGAACCCAGAAGAAAAAACACTACACTGTAGCTTGAATTAGGCATCGGTAGAGAACCATTTCAACAATCAACTCAACTACATAAAGATGTAGAGTTTATTAAATTGAACCTGAGTCTCCTTGGTTAGAGCAGGTGCTCTCACTGCTACGCTACCTGTGCTTGCCAATGATAATAATATATAAGGCCAAATAAAAAATTAACTGTGTTTCCTGTTGCGTGACAGACCCTAATTTTCCTGCTGATTTTTGCCGATCCTAATATTTTTTTTCATACCCAAATGCACAAAAGTTCAGGGTTCCCAGTAAGCTCATTTCCACTGTTGTATCAGTAAAAAAAAAAAATGCGACCTACCGACCCCAATTATTTTTCTCATGCAACAGGAAACACACTTATCTTTTTGTTTGGCTTAATTATATATGTTTTTAGATATCTGAGAGTGCAGTACAATGAATGTAATGGACCTCTCTCATTGTAGCTTGCGCATAATGTTTTTCCATTTTTAAGACCACAATTAAAAGATTATTTTGCTTTAGTTATTATCCATATTCATTTGTCTATTTGTCTTCTCATGTGCAACCATATATACAAAGAATTATACCCTAGGAAATAACATGCGGTCTAAAATGGGAAAATGTTATGCCCGCGATTAAAGGCTCTAATACTCTATATAAGACAGGTCTTTTACTGTATACAGCATAAGTACCAAAGAAGATAGACGCTTGGGAGAAAGGTTTTTTTAAGAGATACATTTTCATGTGTTTCACAGGTCTTGATTTTTATGGTTACATCAAGCTCATGAACTACATACGAAAAAAGGTACCAACTATTAGTGATACTTAATACTGTTTATCAATATAATAGAGATCCCAACTTGACACAGTTTTTCACTCAACCTTGGAATGGCTGATAACACACTTCACAGTTGTATCAAAAACACTTTACATTTATGACAAGTGTAAGACTTTTTGAGCTGCATATTAAGGCTCTATTAGCAGCCATACAGCTTATAATCATGCAGTAATGATGAAAAGGTAAATTATACACCGTGAAAAGATGAAAAAACTTACTGACGTTTCGGACGCTAGTCCTTCGTCGGAGTAAAAGAGAAAGA